GTCAGGGCAATCTACATTTGAGGACGAACACTCGCTCTGGTTACTCTAATAATTGTTTCATTGGACATGCAGTGCTTTGACCAAAAGCGTGTTTTTTAATTGATGTATTTTGAAAGTGTGCAACTCAAATGTGATATTTTAGAGTATAGGTAGGTCTCTTTCTATCATTTCCCGTGTCTTGAGAATGAGGTTAAAATAATAATCTCCATGTAGGTCAGACAAAAAAAATTGTCAGATAAATATACGTTGTAAAATACAATACACGCTTCAGATTATTATCAACTAAGTCTAAATATTTTTATATGTAGTTTATAAAAGAATCACTCCGAACGTTGCATTACACATTGTTCATAATTTCACAACCCTGTTCCTGGTCGTGGAATGTATCATTTGTTTAATAGGAGGCAATAGTGCGGTATAATTAATATATCATAGTTTAATATATATATTTATTATATAATGAATCCGCAAGTAAGAAATAATGCAGGGGAGGAATAATGATCGATGGTTGTACACACCTACACATTTTCAACAGCGGATCTGTTATAAGCCAGTGGTATCAATATGAGGTCTTAAAACCTTATGTAAGACTTTAAATCATTAATCTGACATTTTTTGGAAGATAATGCTCTTCCAAATGAAAAAGTATCATGACTGCAAAATTTCCCAATCTTTCGTGGTAGTGAACTTATAGAATTATCTTGGTAAAGTACAGAGACATCCCTCTTCTAGAGATGTATTTGCCCTGAAGACCACGTTGAAATAGGAGTGAAACTAATTTGCCCAAGCTACGGTTCATAACGCTGTTGCCAACATAGAAACACGTTGTGGAGTATGTGTACATTCAGAGTGTATGGTTTCATTTATTTTTACTAATAGTTAATTTAATTTGTTAGCTTTATCTGTCTTCTGTTATTCCGCTCGCGTTTCCTCGCCAGGATGTAAATTAGCTGGTTGAAGGAGTACATTTAAACTGATGAAGCGAAATGTTTAGTCAGAACGTGGTTTTTCTACTGTGAACGGCCGTTGTATTTCTTCGAATTGGAACCTTGAACATCGGATTGTCATTCTTGCTTCCGAATTAATATCCTACCCGCGTAGGCTCTGAATCAGTTTGTTAGATTAAACTGAATTATGTAGTCTTGCTCTAATCTTACCTTTAAAATTATAATTGCATATCTTTTAAGTTCTCAGTGGAAGTCGTTGGTGTTCGTAAGAACGTACGTCCGTGCCGTCTGCAATCTATATGTATTCAATAAAGGGTCTTTTACACTCTTACCCTGGTGGTCTTCAAACCGGTCCAAGAATTCGAAAGGATTAACACATAAGTAGATCTAGTTACATTTTATGATAGAGAAGAGAACAAGATCCCACAAGAGGAGATCACATTGCATATTAAATTCATAAACTTTAAATTTTTCTGAGTTAATATCCTTCTTCTGAACTTTCTTTATAGCATATTCTTACCATTTTTATTGTTTCATGCTACAATTTTATAATCATGGGCAAATGCTCTTCAGTTTTTTTTTTCTTTTGCATTTATGTGGTACGATGTTATGTATCATTCCACAAAATGCAGAAAATTACAGTTTACTTTTTCTGAGAAATTTGTGATTTCATAAATATAAAGATAAGTTTGGATACAGGTGTATCCAATATAATTATTATATTCAATATAATACGTTATTCATAATGGTGTCCATTAATGTTTCATAATTCACGGTTGAGTAACACTAATCTGACAAACTCAAAACTTAACAGAGATATCAAATTAATTACATATACAGGAAACAATCTGTTATGCAGCTTCTAAAATATTAAATATTCATGCCATTTATTGCTTAATTTGTTTCACAAATTCTTTTTAATAAAATTCTCAAATTTTGAAAAGAAACATGTTATATTCATTCATTTCCAATGTTACCAGAAATATCTGCACCGTTTATAAGATTTTATTCTGTCAATTTAAATATTTAATATACCTCGCCCCCTTCAGACTCCATTTTCTTACATAAACCACTACAGAAATTGCAGAAATTTTAAAATTATGCATTATAAATGAACATTTTGCGTGATCAGAAATTGTATTCAAAGCCTGAAACTACTGAGTAGCGGTCTTAATAACTGGAACCATATTGCAGTCAGAGCTCTTGAAAGCTTCTCGTCTTAAGACTCGGAATTTACTAGTTTTAAAAATTAATTTATCCCTTCGCGACTGCTATTAGAGCAAACCGTTTTTCATAAAATAGGATAATACTGTGAGATTAATCCCTATACTTTGCAGTTTGTCATGAGCATTAAGTTTTCTGTGTGACACAATGGGAGAAATCATCAAACTTCTAGTTGGAAAAAAAAATTAAAACCTTTATAATGCAGGGAAAAATCTTTCAACATTGAATGTACACTATTTCTTGAAACACTTATACATTCTGTAAAATATATGCATTAGTATGCTCATCTATTAATACATTAAAAATGAACATCTGAATTATTGCAAATTACTGCACAATTTTAAAGTTATGTTTCTGAGATTCCGGATGATTAATTCTTCGAAAACAAAATCAGTAACAGAGAAAATTGTGAATGAGCTCACACATAGGATACCTTATCTCGCAAACTCCTTTTCACTTAAGAATTTCCTTTCGTTTAAGCTCTTAATTATGAGCACCACTATATTTACTTTCAATCTCAGTTTGTTCCCTCATAAATACATGTTTTGTAATATAAAGAGTATTTTTATCAAGAAAAAAATATAAAACTTATGTGTGTCTTCTCTAGTTACAAAATTATAATTTAGAAATTTAGAAGCGGACAGATTAAAGATGCAGCTGCAAGCACTTCCTGTAAGCCTAAGAAATTCTATCTAAGAAATATCACATACTGCGTTTTTGCGTCACAAACTTCAAAATTTTATCCGACATTCACATTGAAATTTCTAATGTATGCATAATCATGTAGCTGGTCAACGGAGCTTTTGTAGTTTCGTTTCCAACACACTAGTAATGTCATCGGATTTCTTAAAAAAGGACTCATTTTACCAATCAAAATTTAAACTAAGTACTACTGTTCGTTACAAAATAACAATACGATTTTGAAAAGCCTTGCAATTTTTTAACAGAACGTATGAACAAAGGGGACGAAAGAGACATATTTTTCAGTTTCTTCCCTCACATTTCCTCGCCTCGAGGCGCGTAGGGCCTGAAATACAACTCTTTAAACCCGAAGAAAGGACACGGGAAGCAGTTCGTGATCAATTTACGGTTTGAATGTTGTATTCATGATTTTATTCGTCACGGAGGATTCTTATTATCAGATATAGAACTTAAAAGATTTTTTGTCTTAAAGGCCTAAGTTCTGAAGAGGCTTAATTAGCTCAATCGCGGTGCTATTGCATTCTGCTCTAAAGAATAAAGTAAAAAATTAAATAAATTATTTTTAATTCTGCCACTAGTCTTAAAATGAAAGATCATTCCGAAAATGCCTTTCATTTAGCGCCTGCAGCCGCGGAATTATCTGTGTCAATAGAAATTTTCATTACTATTAAGCTGCTAGATCTTAAATATGAGTCATCCCAAAGTACAATTGCAATAATTCGAAAAGTATATAGTAAAAGGATGTGGATTTCACAAAAACGCACAGAAAGACACAGAATTTTGTTTATTATCGAAATATGTTGTCACGAGATTATTTACATTTTTACTTAGAGTGTAGTTATGCTTTTTTTTTATTTTTACTTGGCAACTTTTTACGCAGAGATAGCCGACATTATTAGCCATACCGAAAGAAGTTAACAGGTTATTCGTTATAATGCGAGAAGAATTATAGTAGAATTTTTCTCGATGCCGTAAGTATCATACCACATCCAGTGACCATTCTCAAGAACGACGGCTGATGCGAACTCTTCTGCGTCACTGTGAGAACGTCTAGCACAAATAAATAACTACTTGTCCGTGAAAAATATAACTATTCTTCGAACGAAATTTGGCCTTATTTAAACAAATCATGTTTTAATGTTCATTTTTGGGACTCCTACGTCGTGATATTGTCTATAATTTTCGAATTATTGAATTTTTACATTTTTCTTGCTCTTGTTCATTTTATGTTTCACATTACAAATCATTGTAATAACACTATTTTTTTTATAATTTAAGTATACCGTAGTAAATAACCAGTAGCAATGCTACTATAATGCTAATCCCCCTTTTGCTACAATTCATGTAAATATGCATACATATTTATATATTCTTGGCATGACGTACTATTGAATAAGCAATATGAAAGCAGAGAAAATAAAAAGAAAAAGTGCGATCTTTGAAATGTGTGACCAGAATGCAGGGAAATTTGAAAATCATTCTTACTGTTGAAAGATATCTTTCATTGCACTCCATTTCATGAAAAATATGGATGTAAATATATTGTCCCAGTCAGTATGCTGATTAGCAGTTAACACATATAGCATAGATCAGAAAAAGAGAAAAAAATTATTATAAAATTTGTCATCTGCATCATTCATGCTACATTGTATGCATTAAATGCACTGAAGTAGATGAAGTTATGAGTCTCATAATTGTAAATAACTATAATTTGTGAACTGTACAGTTCTTTCATGTACATGTAATTAAGAAAATGTTCTTACAGAGTTAAAATCTTAATTCAATGTTGAAAATAACGTAACAGAATCAGTATTTCATTATAATAATCCTCTTCAACTCTTTTTGTAAATAAAATCCTGAGAATCATTTATCAGAACAATGCGGCACTCTTGCCAGTAACTGCTTTCACGATTTAGCGGATATTTGCTTTTTATTTGGAGAACATTTAGTTTTATTATTTTCAAAAATTAGCGAATATTTTCTTTTTAATTTTTTATTTTATTATTTAGCGAATATTTGATTAATATTTTTATTATATTTGCGGACTGAATTACGACACTGTATTTAAATTTTATTGTTTTAATTTGAAATGATTAAACGACTTAAATACTCAAGTAAGTACAGAAACCCGTTTATTTTTCTTTATTAACAAACTATCATACTCTAACAGAAGAAAGTTAACAGTATTTCACAGAATCATGTATAACTTACATTAGGTAAACAATTATGTGAGTGATCTCTGAGTGAGCATTGTTGCAATAAACGATTTATTATACTGTAACAGCTCTGTAACTGAGGTAATACTATCATACGCATTTAAACACATATTTTATTTTCATAGAAAATTAGTTAGGACATATGAATACTCAACCATCTCGCGTTGTATGTATAAATTCAAATATATTTTTCATGTTGTACATTTGCGTAGTATACATTTCAGTTTTCACATTTTTGGTGCAGTTATCTCATTCACTTTCTAAACTTCAGAGAACTAAAATTCAGCATTCATCTTGCACAATTTTTATCATACATCTCAACAATTAAAAAAAATAAATATAACAGTGCATTTTACTTAAGTTTGTTTTAAAATCTTTATAAAGAGTTCATGTGTCTGTACTCGTATGTTGAAGATATTTAATAAATAACATTCTGTGTATTAGGGACATACATTATACATTCCTACAGACATCAAAGTAATAATAGTGTAGTCATATTTTGATGAAACTTTTTTTACGTAAATATTTTATGTTGTGGATGGAAAATTTTCACTCCGATTGGAGTTATAACTAATTCATTAAACTGAAAAGGAAAGCCGGATAAATAAATATACGCGAGGAAATAAGCATTAATGTATTCATCAAATTATTCTTTGCAACTTAAAGAGATAAACTTTTAGAATAACTTATAAATTTTAATAATTCCTTGAATTTATTTCAAATTAAAAGTCTCAACACTTTTCTATAAACTAAATGCAGAATCTGTAACAGTTTCTGATAATTCATTTGAAAATAATCCCCGGAAACAGTCAAATTATTGCAATAATTATTATCACATCTCTAATTCCTTTAAAGTCCAAATATCGCCATACTTCGCATAACAAAATTTGTATGCAAAAATTATGCATCATCACTTTTAAAAATGAACCTTTTTATTTTATTTCAGAGCAACAGAGTTTTAGATCCAACTAATAAATTTAGTAGTATAAATGAGATACATAGCTATTTTTAGGTTAGTAGAATACCAATGGAGAATCCAGTGTTTATTGAAAAACTGTGCTAAATAACTATATTGCCATGCAGAAGGATTTCTTAAATGTATTATTTTTCTAACAGCGAATTTCTCAACTACATATTTTTAATTTTCTGAGATCAAGTTAAATATTAACGAAATCTCAAAAATGACTATTTTTTTTTCATAATGCCTAGTTTAGAAACAGGAAGGATTTCCTATCTATTTAAGTATTCGTTTTAAGTACGAAAATTTGATAAACATGGTAAATATTTATAAAACACAGTAGCACATTTTTGTAATCACAGAGCAATATGTGTAAATAAATATATCAATGCTGGTTTAAAGTTTCAGATACAGTATATTCAGCAAGTAGAGACTAATGGAACAGTTATGTTTCTAAAACATTTATAGCATCTACTAAATTCAACACCATAGTTGCTTTAGCTGGAGATATTTCAACTGCGTGCCTGCTACAGAATCAGGTAAAGCACATTCGGCAATAAAGTCGAATGGTACCCGTCGACCAACCAACCAGCGTAAACGACAGTCGCATCGAAATTGGTTTCCTAATTGAAGAAATTATAAAATGCATTGCAATAAAAGTATTATTCTCAGATTATACATAGAATGTTATTTAAAAATACAAATTAGAATTTTTGAAAAATAAATCAAGCAATATATACATTGTGAGATATAATTATAAATCACATAAGGCAAAAGGTACCCAAACAAATGTATGTTATTATGATATCCTTTCACACACATGTTTTATCAAACAGTTTCTAAATCCGTATTTTAAAATTATGTTAAAATTTTATCTGAAACAATACAGCTACGTTGAAAGAACATTAATTAGCATTCTTTAAACACAGAATAGACTTCTTGGAGAAGAAGATGAACTCGTGTTTAAACTATATTTTGATAACATTTAAATAGTACTGATTTAGCAACAAATGTAAATGGAGAACATATTTTTCTGCATTGAAGTATAATACTTGTTTATTTAGCTATTTAAGACATTAAATAACGTTTTAATTTACAGCAATAGATGCATTATGCTGGACAAATTAAGCAATACATATTACGTTAAAAGTCACACTTTATTTTCTCCTACACTTGTTCTACCGAAAGAAAAAAAAAATGAAACCAACAGGATAAAAATAAGTATATTTATCTTAAAAATCTTTCATTTCTGAAACAACTAGTAATTAAATTTTTTATGTATCTGTTATTTCCTTTGATCACATTATAAATATTCTGTGTGTGTATTTTGTACTGTGTATTCTAAGTTACAGTTGAATGTGAAGAATCTTAAGAACTAGTAAGTGAATAATCGCTTGAGTTCGCGAGAGAATAATTAAAGCTTGGAAAAGGTTAAAAGACCCTTTATTGTTTAAATAAGACTTAACAGAACTCCTGTCTTGGAGTTTTACAATAAATCCGACACTCGGGCTTGAACTTAAGAAATTAAGAATTAAAACTTAACTAATCTTAACTAAAAAGATATAGCCGAAGCTATCAAGATTCTAACGGAGTTGGCCCCTTAACACTAATTACTGCGAAGCTATCATGGACCTAGAGTATGGCCGAGCGGAAGCGTGCTAGCCGGAAACTCTGATTCTTTCTAACTCAGACAGTAGAACTTCGCGGTTATAAACCGCTCTTCCTCATTTGCATTTAAACGTCATTCTAAAACTACATTCTGGCCGCAAGTTGTAAGTTGAAGTTTAGAAGGGACAGGAAAGGAAGTTTAACTAAAAATTTAACTGTTAAATAAATAAACATAATCCTTACAATATATACAATGCATCTTTATGTGCATTTGCTCGCGTTTCTGCGTATCATTAAATCTGGGTACGTTAATAACCTCTAATGATAATTTTGGGGTGGACGACATAGACAATACTAAAGCTGGTGTATAAAATCATATTTGCAGTAATAGTCGATTCTACAATTTTCTTACTGCTTAATGAAACGGTATTGACAAATACAAGCTTAGCTGGAACAATATGGGTTTTCATTCTTTCGTTACATTTGTATTTTTTATATGTTTATAGTATACTTGAAGTAAGAAAAATGAGCGACGGCTTATAGTTTAGCAGGGCAGCAAGAGAAAGATAAATGCATTGAGTCCAACAAGGATGCTAGGGAAGTTAAAGGTCCACTTTATTCCCATTGGTTAATTAATGTCTAGGTTCGAAAAATGCAATTTATTACGGGCTAAAGAATTTTTATGCCCTGTGTCAGGCTATGTGTCATGAGCGTTGTATAAGAATCATATAACTAAGATTCACTTTGAAATAACGCAATTCAGAAAGATTTATTATAAGCATGTTCCTATTTTTAACATAGAAAGTTTTATTTTAATGCATTCTTAAATTTTATATATATTTGGAAATGAAAGCACACGAAGTACTGAAATATGTGCCTTCATGTGGAAATAAACTATTTCTTTATAAAATAATTATTTCTCTGTGAAAGTTAAAACTTACTCCAGTATGGTGTTATAAACGTAAACAATTTTTTGTATTATTGATAACATTATTCATTAAATTATATTTAATAACGGTGTGAACTAACTTAATTTTAAAAAGCATACGAATGCATTCAAATTAAATTCTGGTGTTAGAATTCAAATTAATTTCAATATAATGAAACTCAAACTTACACACATGTTTCTAAGAAAGAAGAGGTATTAAAGGTCGATTTATATTTATATATTATGAAAATATTTATTTACATGTCTCTTCCTTTTAATAAGAATTTTTTCTACTCGTATATATCTTCAATAATAATTTAAAGTTTAAATCGTGAATCACGAATTCATTTTTGCGATAATTTTTATTTTAATAAAGAAATTAATAATTATTTTTAAAATCGATGTTTTCTTCCTTGAATTCATACATTTATGGGTGTTTATTTCCTCTCAATTAAAGAAACTACGCTTCAAAATCTGAAAGAACAGTAAATTATAACTAATGCTAATAACATTTTGCATTGTTGGAGATCAGAGTAAAGGGGATAAAAGTTTCACACTATTTTACATCATGTAAAATATCTACAATATTTTAAATACCGTTTCTTACCTATAAGAGTAAATGTCATTCACCGTTTCTTACCTTTAAGAGTAAAAGTCATTAAATGCTCCAGTGGCCAAGTAAATACATCTTCAGCTAATGTAACGAACTTATTATCGTCGAGCTGAAGCGTTTTTAAATTTGGCATGTTAGTGAAGAAATCTGTAGGTAATGTTTGCAAATCATTGTCACTGAAATGTATAAAAAATATCTAATTACATAACTAGTATTTAATATTAAATCTTTGGTTCCAATCAGTCATGCATTATATGTATAAAATATTACTGGACATTAAAAGTAATCAGAGAGCAGAATATTGTGATGGCGAAAATTTTCGATTGAAATTAAGCTTAACTACAAATGCTGAACGATAAGTCAGCTTTGTTACAGTAATATCAAATTTATGCTAATGGTAATTTCAATCTACTCTGACAACTGTAATCTTGACTAGAAGAGAAACACGCTAATGTGACAATCAAAATCGTAAAAAACAACCTTAAATTTAGCGTAGGTATAATGAAACACTCAATCGATTTCGAGGGCAGCTAAAGGTCCCTCCTCATCAGGAGAAAGAAATACATAGAAAGGAGAAAATAGGAGAAGGAGTCACAGAAACACGTAGTGCTTATCAGCACTGCACGTGGTTATAACTAGATTTTTAATCAGAGTTGCACTGGCCGCCTACTTTTACTGAGCCAGGCTGTCTGATCAAGCATAAAGAAGTATTAGCGAAGTTAAAATAGGGAGCGAGGGGTAAATGCACCTTACGCTCAAAATCTGAACTTCAAATAATGGAAAGCAACCACTGAACGGATTTTTATACCCTCTGGTAGTACCAAGCGCGAGGAGGTAACGCCATCTATCGGCAAAAATAATTGAATTAAGATAGTAGAATTTTAAAGGCATTAGGAAGGACTGGATTGGACTTCAAATCATTAACTAAACTTTCTAAATCTTTGTGAATGTGAAAAGCCTCAAGAAAATCCAATTCGCCTATGGAAGAAGCCTTTTTGGATGATTTTTGCAGACCCAAAATCAAAATTATGGTTAAAAGTCCAGCTATGATACGCTATTGAAGACTTGTTAATTTCGCCTTTTTTGACATAAGATTCATGTTCCTTGATACGAAACTTCAACGCTCTTTTTGTTTGGCCAATATATCTTAAACCACACTGACATGATATACTATAAATTCCCCAAGAATTCAAGACAGAAACGCAATCTTTTAGAATCGAAGGGTGAATTTTATTAATAGGGGAGAAACCGACTTGAAAATTGAATTTCTGGAGAATCCGTGCAATTTTATAGCTAACAGAAGGATAAAATGGAAGCACGACAAGGTCATTAATATTATTTCTAACAGTGGAATGTCTTCTTTGATGGGAATCTGAAAATTTTTTGACGGCTTTATCAATAATCACGGGAGAAAATCCACGGTCAATCGCAACTGCTCTCAAATAATTAAGTTCATTGGTAAGCAAAGATTCAGAGGAACAAACTTTTAGTGCGCGGAAAACATAATAGTAAAAAGAAGCCATTTTTTGCTTAACAGGGTGGCATGACTTGGCATGGGGTGGTAAACAAACTGCAAAGGGTTTACGGTACACAGTGGTGCTAAAATCGGTTTCATTGCGGATTATAAGAATATCGAGGAAAGGGAGGGAATTCTTGGATTCAATTTCAAGAGTGAATTGGATGGCTGGATCAATTGAATTCATAATAGATAGAATCTCGGATAAATCCTCTTTATAACCGTCAAAAAGTGCGAAAGTGTCGTCAACATACCGAATCCAAAGACGAAAAGATAATTTATCAAATAATTTCATCTCAAAATAGTGCATATAAATGTCAGCAAGTACCGGACTGAGAGGATTACCCATAGCCAATCCTTCAACTTGACGAAAATATGCATTTGGAAAACAAAGTGGGTTTGACTTAGAGAAAACTTTAGTAAGCGAAACCAACTCATTAATTTCAGTATGTGTGAAGTGAAATTCCCGAAGCCTAGTTTTCAAGACAATTTAGTGCTCCTTCGACCGGAACATTAGTAAACAATGATTTGACATCAAATGAAACCATAATGGAACGAAGTGGGGAAATATTTTTAAGTTTATCAATGACTTCAACAGAATCCTCTACTTGCTAACAATATTCAACAATATTTTTCTCCTCTACTTGCTAACAATATTCACACTGTAAAATATTCTGTCACAAGTTATGTCTTTTATATATATATATATATATATATATATTATTTTAATGAGTGTACAAGATTCCACATGTCATTAATTTATGCTGAAAGAATATCATAGCATTTTATGTTTGCTATTTGATATTGTGATTTTAAGCAACTCATATTAAATAGGAGATGTTAGAAAATAATCTGAAGTTTTCAGAAATAAGCACATATTTAGCTATCTCTCTCTATATCTATGAGTGTGTGTGTAAGATAAAATATATTTAAATCAAAATTAACCTCGTAATTCTTCCTGTCTATTCTAAACATCGTAACATTTCTAGAATTCTACACCGACTACCAATAAGTATTTGAACACCTGTGATAGAAAAGAAAAACTAACTTTATTCAAAATCAATAGTTGGTAGAACCTCCACGAGAGGTAATTACAGAGTGGACCCTCCGGGGCATACTTTCCACAAGTCTTTGTATGACAACTAGTGGTATTTTCTTCCACTCGGCTTGGAGAAGACATAGAAGTTCCTTCACCAATTTTGCACGGATAGTGCACCCCTGAATTCGGCGATGCAACTCGTCCCAGAGGTTCTCTCTAGGGTTCTCGCCTGGACTCTGGGAAGGCCAGTCCATTCGATGAACTCCATTGGCACCATACCAAGCCTTGATTAACGTCGAAACATGACAACTGTCATTGTCGTCCTGAAAGTAACAGGGGTCCAACCCGTAAAACTGCCACAACGTAGGAAGCACATTGTCATCCAAAATAGTGCAGTAGGCATCGGAGTTGAGCTTACCATGAATGGGGACCAAGGGTCCCAGCCCATACCATGAGAAACTTCCCATACCATAATTCCACCTCCGCCGAACTTGATTGTTGGCGCAATGCATTCTGGCAGGAGACGTTCTCCGGGTAGACGCCAGACCCAGACCCTGCCATCCGAACGGTAAAGGGTAAACCTTGATTTGTCACTCCAAAAAACAAACCCGTTTCCACTGATATACGGTCCAATTTAGATGTGCTTTGCACCACATTAACCGAGCAGTGCGGTTGGACTTTGTGATCAAAGGCTTATGGGCAGCAGCACGACCATGAAAATCAAGCAGATGTGCTTCCTTACGGATGGTATTCATTGAAACAATACTCCTGGATGCCTGTGGAAACTCCTCGTGGATGAGGGCCATCGGTTGGGCCTATACTTCCGAATTTCTCTGGACAGCACTCGTCGGCCTCTATCTCCCAGTTTCGTTGGTCTGCCGACTCGGGGCACATTCCGACAATCACCGCTCACCTTCCACTTCTTAATCACATAGGCCACTCTCGATTTTGGGTACTTCAGATCGCTAGATATGTCCCTAAAGGATCGGCCACATTTGTGATACCCGATATTTATACCTTTCTCGAAATCAGAGAGCTCCGAACTGCGAGGCATCTTGCATGAGACTAAAGCCGATGCTGTTTCCTACACGATATATACCGGCGGAGTCCGTGACGTACCTTAGGACCGCAGATATTGTCATTTGCATACGTGTCCAAATACTTATTGGTAGTCAGTGTATATTTACGCCTAACTGGGAAGAAATGTAGGTATTTCGAGGCTATTTTCCGTTTACTTTATCCAGATTTTTTTATAAGTCTGAAATAAAATCAGAAGGTAAACCATCCAATTTTTCAATTTTTTATACGTAAATTCTAAATATAGTAGAATTTTCAGCTAGGTTCTTGTTAAACTGTATAGCTAATTCCTTAACTTTGTCCTTGATATTTTTTACTTCTTCATGTACTTTATCGGATAAATAGAATCCATTTCGTTTACCTAAAATGATTAACCTCTCCGGATATCGCTTCGCTTCTGCCTCCAAGGGCTCCTGCGTTTTCTCCAGAACAAACAGTCTATTGAAAATATCTAGCAGCATGCTAGTTTCGGTTACAGTTAAAAAATCGTGGCCAAAACATCACCATCATGGACTAAAACGTCACAGAGAAAACGATGCAAGGCGAAAACGTCTTGGTACAAAACATCGTGGGAGAAAAGAAAGTAAAGAGATAACATCGCCGCTCTAAAACATCTTGGTACAAAATATCGTCCTCGAAAATAAAACGGTTCCAAAACATCGAAATTTCAAAACATCTTTGTCGAAAACATCGTGCTAAAAATAAAGCACCTACAAATCATCGCAAGGCGATAACATCGCACACATGCGTTTTTCAGGTTTTAAAAAGTTGTAAATATCCGCATAAAGATTTGGAAGAGCAAGAAATGGCAACGTCACTTTAAAAATTAAACGGAAAAAAGCAAAATGTAATTTTCACCAAAACAATATGAGATCAACAAACGTGAAAGAAAGTAATGTGATAATTAACTAAGCAATTTTTATAGAGGTAACCTCATGCAGTTATTTATCTTCCTTTTTCTAAACACTTTTAGGCTGTATTTTTCATGAAACATTATCAGTAAAACTTTATAAAAAAGACTAATTTATTAATGATCTTTGTTAATTAATTATTTAAATTTAAAATTATATTAAGTTCTATAAGTTGTATTAATTTTCTACTCATTTCCAATTTCTAAGTGCTTAAGTTCCCTTCTTAATTTTTCAGTAAAAATGTATTTGTTCATTGAAAAATATAAAATATAAAAGTAAAAATATTCCTTTTTACTTCTTGCGCTCCCAAATAATTATGCAAAAATGCATTTACCACTTTTAAAACATGAAAAACGCATGTGTGCGATGTTATCGTCATGCGATGATTTCTAGGTGCTTTATTTTTTTACCCCGATATTTTCGATGACTATGTTTTAACTGCGAAGTTTTCGAACCGTTTTATTTTCGATCACAATATTTTGTACCACGATGTTTAAGAACTGCGATGTTTTCTCTTTGCTTTCTTTTGTCCCACAATGTTTTGTACCACGACGATTTCGCCTTGCGTTGTTTTCTCCGCGACGTTTTTGTCCGCAATGTTTTCGAAGGACACCCTAGTTTCTACACCAAAGG